CGTTTCGGAAGGTGGACCTATTTCCACCCTCAGATGGAGGAAAGCAACTCTTTCAATTGGCTGCCTTAAAAAATACGAAAATTCGGAAACTTCAACTGTTGCTATCCATCAGATGAGAGATAACACCTCCTCTTATTGCACGTCTCAAAAAATACGACAATTCGAAAACTTTGCTTGTTTCCATCCAACAAATGAGGATAACACCTCCTCTATCGGACATCTCAAAAAATACGACAATTCGGAAACTTTGCTTGTTTCCACCCAATAGATGAGGAAACCACCTTTTCTACCGGATTTCATAAAAATATCTAGTTTCAAGCACTAGACGTTGTATATTTCCAAACACAAAGACCATAAACACCTGAGAACAGGCTAAGTCCATGAGAGCTAATAAGAAAAATATATATTACAAATTGTTGCAAACACATACAAGGGTGGAACCACGATGGATACAGCCGTAGAAATTTATGTCACGAAACAAAACTAATACTCAGGTCCATGACCCCACGGCATGGAATAGAAAGGAGAACTAGTAAAAAACTAATAGTGTCTAACTAGCGTCAACAATGAAGTAAATCATGTCTATCTAATTTAGAACCTAATAGAAATCAATAACGACTCCACATTGGTGACCCCGATAATGTATGGCGACCGTTGACAGCACAACATCAACCGAGGCCCCTAGAGTGACCGTGTGGCTCCCGCCGTTCTGGGCCGAGCAGCCTGCCGTATGGTTCGCCCAGGCTGAGGCACAGTTTTCATTGGCCAACATCAGAGACGAACAAACCAAATTTTATTACACAATCTCGCAGCTGGACCAACGTTATGTGGCAAGCGCTGCTAAGTTATAGTCTGCAGTGAAGTTAATACAAGAATTATAATATTTTGGACATTGTTCTGTTAAGGAAGGTAAAGTAAAGGTATCTGTGTAACAGGCAGTGGAGGCCCATGGGATTGTGAGATGTTGAGGTTCCCACATTTTCTAGACCATCGGCTCATAGATGGCGGTTAGGTTGTCAGTCTTACGCGCCGGTCGCCCTTTACCCCCAAGAATATTCCTGGTACTCATTTGCGTTAGAGGCTGAGTCGACCCCAGGGCCATAGTGTGGCTGGAAGGATCAGGTAAATTGAAAAAATCCACCTCATCGGGATTCAAACCTGCGACCTTCCGGCTTGTAGCATAGTGCCCCAATCAACTACGCTACCGCATGCCTCCATGTTACGGAAGGTAGTAGTAATAAATGTTGCTAACATTACAGATAATTGCTGTGAAGCACCAGACAGAGATATATGCGGTGAGCCCCTCAAGTTAGAAATGGTATACAGGTGGTACCTCAAGTTCGCAAGTCAGAATTTGACAGTGCAGAATGTAGAGATGCCCAGCAATCTTAAAGCTTTCAAGCACTTGAAGGTAAGAAGTTGTCATGGTAATATTTTTACTGAATTTGGCAAGTTTGATAAAGGCCCAGTATCAGTGTGCTCCTGATCGTACTATGTATAAATGTGGCAGTCAACAGCAATATACTAAGTTTCTGAATTGTGTGAATGTGTGAATATGAATCCATATTTTACACCATAGGTCTTTATATTAATATGAGCCATAATTTCAGATTGGTTCACAATAATGTATGCACATGTGTTGATTGATATTAAAATTAATGTCAGTAGTTAAAAGAGTGGTAAGGTGCTGAGGGATAAAACATAGACAACTACATGTGTGTATCTATTGGTTAGTCTTAGCATATAAATTGCTACATTACTAAAGAATGGACAGAGCTTTGACTGCAGTTTGAAGTCCTGTGGAATTACCCTTCATTATATTTTCTGAAAAAAGTGAAGTAATTTGTGAACCATTACAGAACATACCGTATTTACGCATGTATAGGCCGCACACTTTTTGCCAAAAATTCAAGAGGAAAACTGGGGTGCGGCTTATATTCGAAATATTCGAAATCACACTTCATTTAAAAAAATTATATTCATAATTAGTAATACAGGGTGTTCTACTCCTGAAATAATATTCCAAGAAAATTATTTTTTCTATAATTTCTGTCTGAAAATTGTGCTGCGGCCTATACACGCACGCGGCCTATACATGCATAAATACGGTACTACTTTGTAAACATATATACAGCTGAACCCTATCTAACACTTTTCACACCATGAGCCAATTACATCAGTTCCTGTCCTTGCATAAAGACTCACAGCTGAAATATATATTGTAATAATATTGCAGCATATAATGCCATTGCTGTGCAATTACTGCGAAATAGGTGGATAACCCCCCTCCCCCTTCCACAGGTCAAAATTATTCTCCTAAGCACCCTGTTCTCAAACACGTGCAATGTGTGTTCTTCCCTTGATGTGAAAGCCAAAGTTTCAAACACAAAACTGTAGTTAAACAAGTTTTGTGAGTTTTCATTCTCACATTTGTAGACAGCAGGCAGAAAGATAAAAGATTTGTAATGAAATGGTAGCAAGCATCCACTGACATTTATCTGCTTTTAATTCCTCTTTGAATTTATTTTTATTTATTACTGTCATTTCCAAATGTTTGAAACTTTGCGCCTTATTACCTGTCCTTGTATTATGGCTTTGTCCTGTATTCTGATGACAAGATACAAAGTTTTCTGTATGTTTACTTCCAGACCAACATCCTTACTATTGGCTATTAAAACTTCTCTGTTTCTCTTTGAGGTACTAATTTTTTCCCAGAGTAAATTATCATTATTTGCATCGACCAGAAGCTGATGTGCCCCATTCAGTCCCCCCCCCAATGTCATGATCTGAAGCAGTGGTGATGGAAGCATCTCTATTCCAGACTGTCCTAAGTAGAAATAATTTTTACCTATAGATCTTATTATAGGCTTTATGGAATCACACTTTAATTAGCCTAACTAATTTCACGGATACCCCAAACTCAATGAGAATATTGTATAATTCTTCCTCTTAAATGAATCTTAGGCTTTCTTGAAGTCTCTAAATAGCTGATGTTCTGTTCCATTGTTATCATTTTTTCTCCAGCACCTGATGAACGAAAAAATCTGATAGGCAGCTGATTGGTTACATGAAACTCAACACCTATGATTCCTAATAATTCCATCCATATATGAAGTTAACAGAGAGAATAATGTTGGATGAAATGTTATTTCAAGTTGACAACAGGATATGCATTGATAATTACTAGTCCTCTCAGCCTCCTTATAAATATGCACAATAACAGACTCCTTCCACTGCTGAGGCAGTTCTTCCTTATTCCAGACAGAATTACTAAGGACACAACACACAGAACTAGAATATTATCCTCACATTCATATTGTGGTGTATTTGCTCAAAGCAAGAACTGTGGAGGCAGAGAAACAGTCGTTGCTAGGTAATGGCCCATACACACGCAGCAGAGGAACACATCACATAGGCTGTGATGTCATGGAGCAATGAAAGAGGTGTTGCAAACAGCGTTCTCTGTGGGTCCGCACTGCGCTTGTTGCTACACAACTGTGCAGTAAACACATCTCTGCAGCAGTGGCTCAACATGCAATAATAGAGGAAGCAGTGTTTTCTGTGGGTCTGCCCTGAGGTTACATAAGTAGGATCTCACGCAGCTCAAAGTAGAATTGAGTTGAGTTCCAGAGTTTGCAGTTGCAGCAGAGAATGGAGTTGAATTCCACAGTTGGCAGTTGCAGCAGAGAATTGAGTCAGCAGTCGAAGGTGATTGAGAATAATGGCCAGAAAGGAATTAAACTTTGGAAAAAAGACTTCTTTGAAGTGACAGTGAGACTGTTATGAATCAGTTGCCAGGATATGACTAGTGAAGACCAGGGTCACTAGTGGGTGTAACATTGAAATGTAAAGTGTTGAAATATCAGTAGCACTGTAATTGCCTTTAATTTTGAATGCGTGTATAAAGTGTCAATAAAGCCAATCATCCAATCCAAAATCCATCTATAACTCAACCCCCCCCTACCAATGACAATATCCTTGAAACTTTCAGTTTCTCAGTTCCCACTTAGCACTTGCTGAGCACATGATGGAACTATGATGCTCTCTGCCAACTAAGTGCAGTAGATCTTAACGGTACTCCCAAGGGAACATACTGAAACAAACCATCACGTAATGGCACCACTCTACTTCTTTTCTTTTCAATTAAATTTATTTTTGTTCATCAGATATACATTTGGCGATGGTGCCTCCAGATATAGAACACGTCAAAGCCCAAGTTACTATAAAATCAATCCAGAGGACAACGTCATAAAGATATTACAACTTATATACAATCATTATTGCAATAACTATTGATACAAGTAAATTTACTGTCATCGTCAACACTATGTTCCACGGTGCCACACTGAAATACAAATCACATCAGTATTCTCCCTTTTTAGCTCTTCAATGTTATAATTAAATGCGACATGCATGTAACACTTGCATTGCAACTTATCATAATAAAATACATATTAACATTGTTTATAATAAAGAAAAAGCACATCTAGAGAATTATAGGTCTCATACAATAAAAGTTTTTAAAAATGACTAGTGTTGTTTTATTTATCTGCAATTAACACAATCATTCCTTGTTTTCCATTTGTAATACTCATCTAAAGAATAAAAAGAGCCCACCTGCAAAAAAATTTTAAGGGAATTCAAAGTTGATCAGTGCTGTCAAGTATGTTATGAACAACAGTTTTGGGAGCTTCTGTTTTAAGTAATGAAACTTAGACATAAGTCCTTTACTCCTGATTTGCTACAGATACAGGTATGTCATCACAGTGATGAATTCAGTGATGGGGCTAACTGTTCTGTCTTCTTCTTGACACTGCATCACCCAAAAGCCAGAAAACTCCCAGGCAGAATGTCTGCTTCCTGGCCTTGCTACAAGGTACAAACTCTGAACAAATTTCTTGGAAGTTAAAAGGAAACAATTCACACTATTTTTACTTGCCTGAAATTTTCAGACACCCCTGGCATGTGGTCTATGGGCTGCATCACAAAATCATCACCAGTAATGATACACTTCAAGAGATCTTCATCATTATAAAGAAGATGGAAACAATTTTCCTTCCATCTTAGTTTTTGATTATCAGTTAAAATTTTGAGAATCAAACAAACATGTGTCATTCAACACAGAGTAAAACTGTGACTTATGGCAAGCAATACCGTGACATGCTACAAGTCACATATTGTTCCTATAGTCTAAACCCATGCTTACTGCTCTATGATTTACTACACACATCAATGTGTGTGGGTTGATGCGTCTTCAAAATGCAAGAAAATGACCAAATATTGCACTAGGCACATCAGAACCACAATGCTCCTCAATGTGCTTGAACTGATGCTTCGTCAAATGATTCTGCTGACCGAATGACTTATTACATATGTTGCAACAATATGGCCGCTCCCCAGTATGTAGACGCTGATGGATCTTCAGATTACACTTCTGGCTGAATGACTTGTTACACACTTCACACATAAATGGCCGCACTCCATCATGTACACGCTGATGCCTCTTCAAACTACCCTGCTGACTGAATGACTTATTACACACAATGCACCAAAATTGCCTCGCCTTACTATGTACACATTGAGGTGTCTTCAGGTCATCCTCACGACTTAATGACTTATTACATATGTCACAGGAAAATGGCTGCTTTGGACTCTGTTTCAGCTGATGTCTACCCGGATTTGGCTTTTGACTGAAAGACTTCTTACGGACATCATTGGAATATGGCCGCTCATCACCATGTATAGGTTGATCTTCAGACAGACTACCCTGCAAAACAAGGAGAAATAACAAACACGAAAAATCCTCCTATGAAGAGAAATAAGTTTGAAAACCAGTACAGCAACGCTTTAATGGGGTAGCAGAGAGGGGTGTGACATAAAGGTGGGAGATGAGGAAGGAAGGGAGAAATGGAGAGGGAGAGAGAGAGAGGGTGTGATCACATGCATGTCAATGTGTGTGTGTATCAGTACGTATGGCTTCTTGTGAGTGAATACAGTCAAAATTAAATAATAATATGCATCTGTAAGGCGATATGGGGTCCAAATAATAATGGGTAGGATCCTAAATGAATCAAAAATAAAAGCTGAGTATTTATAATTTTCATTTCATGCATCCTGTTGTGTTATAATATACAATTTCTTTATTGAAACTGTCACAACACAACTATATTTAGGTCAGTGCCTAGTTTGGTTCTGCTACATGTTTCGGCTATTAACAGCCATCATCAGGCAAATACATGGCTAACATATATACACCACTGAACTGCAGTACTAATAAAATTGGGTACAATAATATTAATTATATTAAAATACTTGGCATAAAAATACAATAAATTAGATTATATAAAACAGAAGTTATAGTATAAAACAAGAATCATCGAAGAAACATCATCCCTCGAAGAATTTTGTTCTTGTTTTACACTATAACTTCTATTTGTATAATATAATTCTTGGGTAGAGTAATACTGCTCCTGCTCCCTCTCTCTCTCTCTCTTTTATGTCTGCAAGATATTTAATCCAGTAGTTTTTTATTCTGAATAGGAAAATGAGCTTCAAAGATATTTAGAAAAATATATAAAAAGGGTTAAATTTATAATTTGTACCTTATTTTTGAAAACTGTGTCACACATTTAATTTTCTAATAGATGCTGGAAAGGAGTAATGGTTTCATTCTCACGTCCATGCTACATGACTTACCCACATCATCTTTCTTGAATTTATCATTCTAATACATAATATACTAAAATGTTACAACGGGCCGCATCATAGCTCAAGCGGTTAGTCACTGGCTTCCCACCGCCGTGGTCCGGGTTTGAAGTGGGATTTGTGGTGGGCAAAGTGGCGCTGGGGCAGGTTTTCTCCGAGTACTTCGGTTTCCCTTGCCAATCTTCATTCCACAAATTGCTCCACAATCACCCTCACCTATCATCTGGGACTGGTACAATAGGCCAGAAGTGGCCGCAGTACAAGAGGGTTAGTCCCACCTCACTAGCAAAAAAAAAATGTTACAACACCTACAACCAACCGCAAAAAAGTGACCACATTGGTCATACAGTCTTCTCACAAAATACTGAGTGTCTCTGGATTTTTAATCGAGGGATGAAGACAAATGTACTCTTTCTCGTGCAAACAATAGCAAAACACTCACCATGTTTTCTCTCATAGCAAGAAATATTTCTCCAACTGTCTGTAGTATAATTATTGGCTGCTACTAATGGACTTTCCTAACATCCAAACACGATCTCTCACTGCTCTCATGCAACTCACGACCGTGCTGCTGGTACTCACTATTTATTGTCGAAGCGGACATGCCTGTACTGTTGCCTGTTGATTCGTTGCTGTTGAAACGTGCTTACTGTTGCCGCACAGAAAACACCGCGTCCTGTTGCGGCAGTATCTGTTGCCGTGGAAATGTGTTTGCCACGTAGGTGTCCAGCAACGGCCACCTATACTTGTCCCACTATTCCGGCTTTCGCCGTCATGTCAAAATTTCTGATCTTATGGCAACACGAAATGATGTGGCATATTGCGTTCTGGCAGCAGATGCCGTGAAACTTGTAATATTACAATGCACCATACTGTCTGGAAAATGTTCCGTGCGGATAAAGAGTTCTGTAGCTATCAAAAATCGAAGCTCGCCGCCCATTGCTTTGCCGAAACCGTTGCCAACATCCCGGATATCGTTATCATAATTAAATCTAAAAATAACAATTCCTGACACAACGACGATACTCCAAAATAAAATGAACTCATCTGTAAGAAAACTAACAGGGAAAGAAGATCGCAGCGTCAGTTATTTCTGTTAATTTTTCGTAAATTTAAAGCTCTTTGTTTTATGTCATTGTGGCAACGGAAAACTGTGTTTTGGGCGCTTCTACCGGATGAAGATGCACCTATTCTCATGAGAAATAGTTCGGGATCGTCAAAGGTTGATGTAAACTTATGTGGTCTCTGATGACTTAAGGGGGCATTATACCTTATTTATAGTGATTGAAATGGAATTGTAAGTTTTATTATTTACTCTTTACTATGTGTAAAGCCTCCAAGATGGCGGATATGGCGGACGTGACTGCCGAGTAGTAGGAGTATGCCCATCTGTATTGAATAATATGTACTGGATTGTGAAGTGTACAAATTGTGTTCAAATGAAAAGGCAATTAGATGACGCGCTGCTGCAATTGAAATCTCTGTAAAAAATAATTGAACTGTTACAGTAAGGTAATGGGGATTCCAGAACACTTATCCAGGAAGATACTGCTGATAGGTTTGTGATTAAGAACGAGGATCTGGATTTATTTTGCGATACAAAACATTCGGAAACAGTAGTGTCTCACCAGTTATTGTTGCCCCACTATCTAGTCTGCCTGCATCCGATTCTAAATTCGTCGCACAAGCTCACTCTCCGAGTAAGTGGTCAGATGTGGTTGCATGTAAGAAAATGTGTGGCCACCAATGTGTTAGTGAAGTTAAAAAGTGCTGCACTATATAATATTCTGACAGTAATTAGCGGACAGGTGCCACCTACGGATAAATTGACAGTTGAGAAAAGACCTTGACTCGAGTCTTGAACACGAACGTGACAAATGATCAATATAAAGTTCATAAAGTTATATTATTGAGTGACAGCCAAGGAAGAGGATGTGCTGAAAGAATAAAAATTCAGTTACCTTCAAACTTTGAAGTATGGAGATTGGTGAAACCAGGTGCTTCATCCAATATCTTAAACAAACCTCTACTAACAGAAACTAATCAGTTTACTCGGAAAGGCTATTATTGTGTTATAGCAGGGGTTGAAGGATGTTAGTAGCACTAAGAGCTACTTTTGGAGTGAAGAACATTCTGTCGGTTAACACAATATCTTCATGGCACCACATCCCGGAAGACTGCTTTCTTCATTCTTCAGTTTCTTATGAACAATTTACACTTTACCTATGCGATCATGTGTGAACAAAGAAATTTAATCATTCAATAAGAAGTTAGAGATGTGTTTTAAGTCCTTTAATGGTATATCTTTGATTAAGACTAATTATGCTAGAGACAACTTTACTAGGCTTGGTATGTATTTATACCACTATTAATAGAGAAGCATCTGTAAGATTGGATTGGAGAATGAATATGATTAATAGTAAGATGATTGAGTCTGGTCTATCTCATGAAACAGTAACACTAGAGGCTGATACTCTGGACAGAACAGCTGATCATTGGAATGATCAATCTCGTCAGGACCAACAGCTAGTACCCTTGATAAACGTACTAGGAGAAAGCCCATAATGGGCTCAGTTATTTTATGGGAGGATTAAAGCAGGAATTAAATATAAACAAACACCCAGTTCAGAAGGGAGCTTATTATTCAGGTATAAAGATTTATCACCACTTACCTTGGGAACTCAAGACAGTTATCTAATGATCAGAAATCCTTTGGGTTTGCCCTAAAGAGATTTTTATGTACATACTTTTCTATTTGTTGAATGAGTATTTTAATTACAAGTGAAAATGCATTCGAGTGTATAATTCACGTTTATGTTTAATGTATATCTCTTAATGTTTTACAATGCATCTATTATATATCATGTACTACGCATGAGCTGTTGAGTAATGCATTGCTGCATTATGTATTTAAGCTGTCAACAAGGTCTTGTACACATTCAGCAATCAGTATTACACAGATACCAATATGTATACAACACAAAGTAAAACTGTATGACTTAACCAACCAACACTGTGGCATGCCACAAGTCACATATTGTTCCTTCTGCCCAAACCCACCTCTACTGCTGTATGACTTATTTACACACAGGACTATGTATGTGCTGATGTGCCTTCAGAAGATTCTGCCTACTGAACTTACTATACTTATTACAGCAAAATGGTCACTCCTTTCTATGTACACGTTGATGTGTCTTCAGGTGACTCTTCAGACTGAAAGACTTACTACACATGTCACAGCAAAACGGTCGCTCCCCATTATGTACGCGGTGGTGTTTCTTCAGATTACTCTGATCACTGAATGACTTATTACACACGTCACATAAAAATGGTCGCTCGCCCCTATGTATACGTTGATGTTTCTTCAGATTACTCTGATCATTGAATGATTTATTACACACATCACAGCAAAATGGTTGTTCCCCACTATGTATACGCTGATGTTTCTTCAGATCACTGAATGGCTTATTACACACATCACAGCAAAATGGTTGTTCCCCACTATGTATACGCTGATGTTTTTTCAGATCACTCTGATCACTGAATGGCTTATTACACACATCACAGCAAAATGGCCGGTCCCCACTATGTATGCGTTGATGTGTCTTTAGAAGATCCTGCCTACTGAATGACTTACTGCACTCATCACAATAAAATGGTCGCTCCCTACTATGTAGACGTTGATGTGTCTTCAGATGACCCTTCAGACTGAATGACTTACTACACACATCACAGCAAAATGGCCGCTCCCCACTATGTATGCGTTGATGAGTATTCAAATTACCTAGTTGACTGAATGCCTTATTACACACATCACAGCAAAATGGCCGCACCCCACTATGTGTACGCTGATGTGTCTTCAGATTACTCTGATCACTGAATGACTTATTACACATATCACAGCAAAATGGCCGGTCCCCACTATGTATGCGTTGATGTGTCTTCAAAGTACTCATAAGACTGAATGACTTATTACACACGTCACAGCAAAATGGTCGCTCTCCATTATGTATGCGTTGATGTGTATTCAAATTGCCTAGCTGGCTGAATGACTTATTACATACATCACAGCAATACAGTTGGTGATCATCATGTACAGGTTGAAGTTCATTCAGCACATTCTGCAAAACAAGAGGAAATAACATGAAAAATCCTCCCATGAAGAGAAATAATTTTGAATCCCAAGTATATCAAGAGTTTAAGGGACAGAGGGGTTACGGAGTTTGGGAGGACACTTATGAGGGTAGTGGGTGCATGTTCATAAGCATGTATGGCTGTTTGTGAACAAATAAATGTCAAGCTATGCTTCCATCATGTAACAAATTACAAAATTAAAGAATATACATTTGTAAGGCTGTACACTGGTGAAACAGTAATAAATGCTGAGTTAAGAAATGACAGTAAGACTGGCTGTATATGGCCTAGTGAAATCCCTCAAACAAAAATACATGTAAGATGACCCAAACAGAACAGGTCAGTCAGTTCAATACACATAGTCACCCTGCTACCATGAACAAGTCTATGTTGTCATTTCCTGTGGTGCCTTGCAACATACCCTAAAAATGAAAACGTCTGCAATTTGCCAGAATATAGGCATTCCTTCCAGATGAGTGAAATGGTAATGGGTATACCACACTGTGCAGGCGCAGGCCTGAGGGTGCCTTGGAACATACGGACATATGTCAGGTAATTGTGCCTAATTAGGAGGCATGCAAGCAGGATTTCTTCCTTCCTTCCTGAAGAAGCTAAAGAACTGCCACACCTGAACACATGGCTGCACTGACTACAATTTGTTCTGCTCTGTGTTGGCCATATATCTTGCCGTGATGAGATTACAGAGGCACAAAGATCATCACCCACAGGTTGTTCTGATGCCAAACCGCAGAGACAGCTTTACTGGTTGCTGCATTGGCAGTCTCATTGCCAACCAGGCATACCGAGCTAGATGCATATCAGATAGAATCTCCTTATGGAGATGGTAAATCACAGTCTTGTGTGTGTCCAACAACACTCTGTAATGGAAGAATGGTGTCTGTGCAAGAAAGACCACAATGCAAAGGATGTCAGACAAAACAAAAACAAACTCTGTGGGTTTAGTCCACAAGCGAACTATACCGACTGAGCAACCTCTGCTTGTCGGTTAACACCACATATACATGGTGCCAAATCCCAGAAGACTGCTTTCTTCATAGTCACCGCCGTGAAAGCCTCAAATCT